ACTACTTACAGAGTGGATGGCCAACGGAGGGACAAGGTTAGAGGACTTCCATTGTATTAAATACACCACACGTACTTACTTTTTCTCACTGTACTAGCAGCTTTTACGTAATCTTAAACAGTAGATTCCACAGAAAGCGTCTCTTTCTTCAGCTTACTCACCGAATTTTCCACATCTGTGTGCTGCAGGTTTTCGTGGGCAACACAGATAATGACAGCACAAAGACCAATCTTTTTGACCCTCCTATCATAGCCCAGTACATCCGCGTCATCCCAGTGATTTGCCGCAAGGCCTGCACGTTGCGCATGGAGCTTGTGGGCTGTGAACTCAATGGTAAACACACAGAAAACACCCGGAACAATTTTGGCAGATAATAATGGTGGATAGAAAAACAAATTTGATGTAAGCTCAAGTCAAGTTATAGCCTTGGTAAACCCTGAAACGGTGAAAAGTTAACAAAGTCTCTTTTTTACTACATTGGTTTCTTCTTGTTGTGGTTAAACTGACAAACATGATGACAGTCAAAGGGTTTATTTCAGCTGCATAATACGGCTATGCAAGGTCACTATGGCTCACTATGCAACAAGAAAAGCAGCAATTCCAAGCACACATGAAACAGAATCCTTTTTGTCGTTTGTCTTCTTTAAACATAACAGATAATGTTTACAGAGAAACATGGTGAATTTAAATGCACAGCATATGTATTGTAGCTCTGTGCTCTTTATTGCATGCAGTTTCTTCTACTTTCTTTCTGTTCCTTCCACTTGGTCATTGGTGGGTTAAATGATTTTAATCAGACACATTCTTCTTAATATTTCTAATTTTCTTCAAATGGATGAAGGGGGAATTAATTTGTCTTTTCTTTGGGTGTTTCTTTACCCCTCTTTCTGTCCTTTTGGCTTTCTCTCCCTCCACCTTTCCATCTGCTTTTGATTCACAGTTCATTCAAACACGGCAGGTTGTTCAGAGCCTCTGGGAATGAAGTCTCGCCTGATCTCAGATGGGCAGCTTTCAGCCTCCAGCTCTTACCGCACATGGGGCATCGATACCTTCACATGGCACCCTCAGTTTGCACGACTGGATAAGCAGGGAAAGACAAACGCCTGGTCTCCTGCCTACAACAACCGCTCCGAGTGGATTCAGGTGGGGGAAACCTAAGCGGTAAAAATGTCATTTGAGGCCAGCAAATGTTGCAGAGTATAACGGTTTTTCTTTGTTCCTTCACCAGGTGGATCTAGAGAAGACAAAGCGCCTCACAGGCATCATCACACAGGGAGCAAAGGACTTTGGTGTGGTGCAGTTTGTGTCAGTGTTTAAAGTTGCTTACAGTAACGATGGAGAGTCATGGAGTATGGTGAAAGAGAACACCGGCAATGATAAGGTGAGACATATGTGAATCCCTAAATGTATTTTCTTTAAAAGGAGTGTTGAATAATTTAATACCTCTTTTCTGAAGTGTTTTTGCATAAACCATAGTCTTTAGAAAGTAACACACAAACCCTACCGTTTGTAAAAACAAGTCCGAAAAGTCACACATAATGTCAGCTTGTCTGTTTCTCTCTTTCCCTTAATGATGAGGTTGATTTTTGGCTCTTTCTGGAGCAGTGGAAGGCCCTTTCTCACCTTACCATAGCCTCTGAGATGATCCAAGAAAACTGTAAAACAACTGTTTTTACTGAGCATAGAACTAGTAGTCTCAAGACATAATGATGCGGCCCGGGGCTCTTGTCTGAATGCTCTGAACGTCTGGGTGGTGCTGTGAGGATCTGGGTCGTTAGGTTTCAGAAGGCAGCACAGCTCAGTTTGATTAACACAGCCCCTGATGACAATTGATCAGTAAGACATTTGGTGGATGTATTCACCAAATACATTAGCTTGGTTGGGCCCAGTGGAAAATGAAGTTATGTTATATTTACTTAGACTATATCTTTAACATTTATTTGCAGCTTTTCCAAGGCAACATCGACAACAACACCCATAAAAAAAATCTATTTGAGCCTCCGTTCTACGCCCGATATGTCCGAGTCGTCCCCTGGGAGTGGCACGAGCGCATCACTCTACGCATGGAGCTGCTGGGCTGCGATGACTAGAAACTCTTCAATCACCATCTAACAGTGCTCCATTCTCATCCAGTCACTCCATCTCCTCAAACCACAGCAGAGGAATGGATCTTGAACAGAATAATCCTTTTGTTTCTCTGGGTAAACATCCTGTTGACTGCTGGGACTGTAACACTTGTAGCACTTTCTGACTAGTGATCTATTTAATGTTTATTTTAATATGATTGTTTGACATTGCTCACAGAGAATCGTCTATGAAGTATCTATGATTTGAGTCTTAATAGTTTTGGATATTACCTAAATATTCATAGATTTGCTCTTAGTCCATATTATTTGCTCCTAAGAATTGTTGTGAGTTTGGACACTTGATAATATTGCTCTTCCAGTTGTATTCCAAGCTAATTTGCCATTTATTTTTAAATTTCTGTCCTTCTTTTGCAGTCCCACACCACTTAACAAGTAGTTTTTTGTAGTTTTAAAAGTATACAGGGGACAAACAGCCTCACTAACATACTACTCACTATATATCACAATGCACGTTGTCCAACTGCTGTTTAGTTACTCGAAACAAACTAGCATGAAGATGCAGGGCCTGTGCAATATAGAGAATAATTTAGATATATAATTTAGCAACTATCCTGAAAGAAATAATATTTCTAAGAATAGAAAATTAAAATGTTCAATTTTTAACTGCGTAGAGCTTTTTGTGTTTTGTCACGTCTTTTTTTTTTTTACACATTTAAGCAGGTTTTTCCACTTCGTTCTTACATTTAATTTCATTGTAATTTTATCTGTTTACAACAAATGTGAAATATGTAGAAAAATGTGTAGAAAATAAACATTGTTTTACATTACATTCTTTTTTTAAATATATTGTTGGTCTTGAACTGAGATCATTTATTAAATGTTAAAAGAAATATTTGTGTGTGTTTTTTTTTTCAACAGACTGCTCAGTGAGGCCACATAGAGGATACACAGGACGAACATGCTTATTAAAAAGCACAGCACTGCCCATTTTAGGTTTAATCTCTGCATTATTTTTTATTATTATACATTATATAACAGTTGATAGAATCCAAAAGGAGACCTCCTTTTATAACATTTCACTGTCCAAACCTAACATGAAAGGAGGTACAGTAGGATTTAAAGCTCTCAGATAAGACAGGACTAAACTCAGTTGTTTTGAAGAAAAACCTGCTGTCAGTTGCATTCAGCTTTTGTGCACAAACTGTCCCAACTACACAAAGATGTTGTGCATCTTCTCCATGCTGGACTACTAGGCTTTGGTCTGCTGTTTACAAGAGTAATTACACCCTGTTAGCCACTCATTTCCCTGCTAAGCTCACCGTCCTGGTATGTTTGGCCCCTGGCAACAGCTCATTTCTATGAAGTGAATGCAGTGGAGGACGGATTATCTCTAACACATCTTGCATAGCAGCATGTCCTATAAAGATCACAGTGTTTCCAGGAAAACACAGCTGGCAGCTGGAGTCTATATGGGGACCCAACACAACAAACATCTGCTTTCAGAAAGTTTATCAGTGATGCAAAGGAGTTTTCCCCTAAGAGGTTCCTCCACAAACAACTGCACAACATGACAACATTTGTTATGGTTGATCCTACTGTAATACAGAAAGTAATGATTCTGTAACATTAGCAGTATAAACTGTGTGTACCCCCCAAAACTGAGTAGTTGGGTAGAATAAATAACATGGTGGAGTTATTTTGAATAGGTTTAAATTTGAATTTTCAGGGAATATTTGCAGGTTGAGGGGAACGAAGATTAAACAAATATTAATCTTTTCATTCTGAATTTGCATAGGTTCACTTGAAATATAAATGTCAATCAATACTGATAAATTAAATAATGGACTTCTTCTGGCGTCACTGTCCTCCCTTCATTCACTGGCAGCAGAAACACTATATAGTTTCCAGCCCGATCTGTTGTAGCTGTAGTGGCAGAACAGCATACAGTCATGCTAGTCTTTAGCAGTTAAACAGTTAAAGTAGCCTATACCTGTCATTATTAACCGAGCATAGCTGCACCTGTTTTATCATTGACAAAGATTTGAGGAAACTACACCCATAACTGATGCTTTTTGTTCTTTGGCCAGAAACCCATTGTGCGCATCAGAACTCCTGCGTCCTCTTCGAGACACGGATTTGTTCCAGACTTCTGCGCATCTTTTTCTTTTGCTGCTCAGCAACAAAGCTCGGTAAGTGAAGAAAGTTAATATTAACAAAATTACTGTGCGCTAAATAGCCTATGGTCTTTCACCTTTGTAACACGAATCACCTTATTAGTCACATGAGCTTCTGACATTCGCTTTAAAAATGTTAAATTCATCAGACCCTTTTACGTGTTGACGTTTTTAGTTTTTTGTTCACACCTGGCGTCTAGGTCCAGTCAACAATATTGTTGGTGTTGCACATTGCAAATTACGATACTGACTAGCATAAATAAGGATACAAAGGTGAAAAAAACAGGCGCTTAACTGAAAACAGTTGATCTGTAAAAAAAATCCGCTGTTAACTATAATACAAATCATCACCATTTATATATTTTAAATTCTTTTAAAAATCCGTTTAAAAAAGTGAGTTGAAAAAACAGTTTTGTGTTGCCACAATGCAGGAACATTATTTTCTTTATATATCATTATTTTCTGACTATAGAGCGGACAAAAGTTGTCCAAGTGGCAACATAAACATTTTTATAGGATAGACACAGAGCTTATTTACATAGTGTCCTGCTGCCCTCTACTGGCCCTGTCCTTTCAAAACAACCGCTGTTAAAAAATATCGATAAAAAGAATCACAATAAAACCATGCATACAAAAGCTTTCCACTATTTTAGGGAATGAGCTAATGCCAGGTTTCTCTCCACAGACTTCAGTATTGCACAGAGACCATTGAGGATCAGGATTTGTAATTACAGCCAGCATGATGATTTGTTGCCTCCGAGCTCTGCTGTTGTTGGGGGCTCTGCTGCTTCTCTCAGGCTGGGCCCTGACTGCCCCCACAAACCCAAACAACTTCTTCTACCACGACTTCCTCGATGGAAATGGCAACAAAGAAAGTATGTGCATGGCCAATAAAACACATGTTTATGTTAGATCTTTAATATAAATGGGTGTCTGTGATCTATATAATGTCTATATGTCCTACAGTTTATTTCAGTGGTGTCAAGCTTCATATGGATTCTGCTCAGACATCAGTGTTTGCAGTCAGAAGGGGAAACGCCACCATGCCATGCAGGTTTTGGCATGAGCCTGAGGTGAGCTCACCAAGGGAAGTCCGGGTCAAGTGGTCGTGGCTGCCCGCTGCTGGGGGACCTGAGACAGATGTGCTGGTGACTATTGGCTCCCGCAGTCGAAGTTTTGGGGAGTTCAGGTTGTTGAAACAACAAATACTTAATTGATGATTATTCTTTTCTGTTATGTATGACCTTGTTTGTCCATGTATTACAGTTTTTCTATCGATTTGGCACATTTACTGAAACAAACTTACAACTGTCAAAATCCTCACACCACGTGGTACATTCAGCACACCACTGTGACCTGCAAAAGGTGATTACTCAATCAAAAGAATTGACTCATGTTTCAAATATAAATCCATCAATGAATAAATCATCGTCATCAAAACAAAAGGTTCCTTTATCATTTCTTAGACCAAGACACCAAAAATGCAAAGACATGTTGTCCAATTGCTAACATTGTATTTTTAGGCAGCTGAATAGTGTTGAAGTCAGCCATGGCACACACTATACTTTAAACCATACACTTATTTGACGACACTGTGGACCGGCCCAGATTAGGCTCTCCGACCAGCCTCTGTCATACCACGCCATGGTTATTTACATGTCTATAATTGTGCTTGTATCTCATTTGAGATTTCTCTGTGCCTTTCCCTGACTCGTCCTTTTCCTCTGTGCCTACATTACTCTCTACATTATGAGGAAATTGAATTGTTCCCCATCTAGCTTAAAGCTGATGATACACGGGGCAACTTTTTGAGCAATGTTGCTGGACAATCTTGCTTGTGGCAAGCCCGACTATGTTTTGAATAGATAGCGGTGGGGCATGGCGGGTGGCAGAGTGGTGGTTGAAGGGGATTGTTGTGATTGTTGTGATTGTCGCTCTATTTAGCATGTAGGGATTTACCCAATGAACATGTGTATAATTGCATTTAAGAGAAATATGATTCAACAGCAAACAAATGCAAAGTATTTTGATCTACAAGGCTTACTCAATGCATTTTGTGCCAAAGCAATCATACATTACTATAATCATGTGAACTGACCTAATGTTCATATAAATAGTTTGACAATAATTCCACGATTGTGCCAAAGCTTTTGAGAAAAACTGTAACTCACAGTATGTCTGCTGCTTGTTGTCTGTTGGTCAGGGGCCGTGTGCAGCTCAGGCAGGACTTCCCAGGAGATGCTGCACTTGTGATGACTAGACTCCAGTTGAATGATACAGGCCGTTACCGCTGCGAGGTGGTGGACAGACTGGAGGACAAGAGCACTTTGGTTTATCTGGAGTTACGAGGTACAACATGTCCACCTACACTGATAGCATGGCTTTTATTCTCAGAGGCAATGTGAGTCCAAACATTGCACACACACAGAGCCTAGTTTTAATTTCATTCAGAGATACATTTTAGAAATAGATTGTCTGGTGTTTTAAGTTCAAAGCATTTAAGAAGGAACATTTACTGATTATAAAGCATTTGAGTCTCCTTTAAAATTAAAATTTCCCATTTAAATGCTTAAGTTTTTTGTTTATTTGCTAAACTAGTATACACTTGTACGAATGTATACTGTACATACGGTAATATTTATGGTAATTCCTGGAAATAAATGTGCTTGCTAACAATTATAGCAGTTAGAATTAACTGGATTATAGTACTTCCCAGTTGCTTTGGTACATTTCTTAAATAATCTTTAACATTTGCAAAACAGTAAGCGCTTTTCTCGAATCAGATCGTACAAACAGCACTACACAGTGGATTACCTGCAAAAAGCCAATAACTTGCTCAAAATCCTTTGTCTATCTCTCAAAAGTGAATATTTATGTCAGTGAACATGTCAGTGTCAACAGAATGACACGTTCTTGTGTCAAACAAGATAGCCAAAATGTTAAGCTATGTTGTCAACATAAGTGTTTTAAGGTTTTGATGACAATGATTGAAAATGCACAATGCCCACGTTTTCTGTACGGCATGTATCACTTTCACCAGTACAAAGTTATACATTGCAAGAGATTGGACAGTTTGCACTGTAATTTGTTAACAGACCAGACTTTTTGACTTGCGATAGACGAGAGCACATGATAACAACATGAATGATGGCTCTGTTGTATCCCAGTGAGTAACCTGTGCTTTTAGAAGAATTTAGAAGTACTGCAAGAAATAAAATCAATAATGGTAGTGGCATTAATGACAGTTGTAGGAATTGTAGCTGTAAGAGAAGTAGTAATAGTAGAAGTACTGATACTAGCAGTAATAATAAGTATTTAAGTGAACATGTTACTGTCTATTGTAATGGCAATAAAGTTATACAGAAACCCACATACTTTCTGTAATCTGTCCACCATGAAGCCATCTAATTAAGTCCTCCACCCAGGTGTGGTGTTTTCCTACCAGCACCCTCGTGGTCATTACCATCGGAGTTTCCTGGGAGCTAAGCAGGCCTGTGAGGAGCAGGACTCTACACTGGCCACCTCCACACAGCTCTTTCAGTCTTGGAAGGAGGGCCTGAACTGGTGCAATGCAGGCTGGCTGGCTGATGGGACAGTCCAGTACCCCATTACCCGGCCCAGAGTGCCCTGCGGGGGGCACGGCCTTGCTCCGGGTGTCCGGAGCTACGGCAGACGGCACCAGCACCTTCATCGCTACGATGTCTTCTGCTTCTCCTCTTCACTGCAAGGTGAGGTGGCGTTTTTAGGAAGTGTAAAGGGTGAGACCGGCAATGTCACACGTTCAAAATCTGGTTCTAAAAAAAGGCTTTTCACAACAGAGATTTTGACTTATAGCAGGAAAAGTGTTACTAATAACATTAAAGATGGCTCTATCCTAGACAGAACAGTGTGACAGTGAGCCAGCACAGTACCAGGACCCTGATATCAAAGCAGCTAAATGGAATTCAGTGGTCATTAATATTATGTACACTTCTGTGTTTCCTACTGTGATATGTTACAATCTCCTCTGTGAGAAAGGCCTAAATATCCATTCTTCATAAGCGAACAGAATGGCTTGCTAAAGCAACACACTGCTTCTACTATCTTTGCTCAGAAGCACTTCTTTTGACTCTCTGCCTGTCACCTCTCATTAGAAGGCACTGTCACTGTAAATAGTGTGCAGCAACCAATATGAAGCTTCATGAAGTCTGCATTGACCTCAGCTCAGCAGTGAACAATTACTGTATATGTTTTGTATATAATATGGGCTTCACTACCTGTAATCACTGAATATGTTCCTAAACATTATACACGTTACAGGGGCTCCTGGCTAACTGTTACAACACACAGAGACAACACAAATTACAGCGTTTTCATCCATATTAATGTTTTCTAGCAAGGGTTTCCCACCTTACAACTCAAATAAGACATTTCAATAAATCTACAAAGACAATTGATAACAGAACAGGATAAAGAATAAATACCACAATCCAATATTATTCACTAAATACAAACTATGTGCATCAGGGCATAGACAATGCTACTATTTATAGTAGTTACATCAGTACATCAGTTGTGTGTACCATGTGTATTGCCATTTCCTTTAAGTTTGAGTCTTGGTTGAATTGCTCTTGTATAGTTTCTATTTTATTCTCTTCTTATTTTACATATAATTTCTCTATTTGTCTGTACTTACATCTATTGTTGCTGGTGTAACACCCATTTTCCCATCTCCTGGATCAAAATAAAATGTAGAAGTCTCTGGGACAGACTTCAGTCTGTCTATTTTGGAAACATGAAAATGTTCAAGAACCTAATCTAATCTGTGGAAAGTTTTCTCACAATAAATTCCCTTCCTTCAAAAGGGAAAGTCTACTATTTTCAGCCTTCACACAAGATGAACCTGACAGAGGCTCGGCAGGCTTGTCAGGTGGACGGTGCAGAGATCGCCAAAGTCGGACAACTCTTTGCTGCCTGGAAACTCAAAGGGCTGGACCGCTGTGACGCTGGCTGGCTGGCTGACGGAAGCGTTCGGTATCCCATCACCAGGCCTCAAACAAACTGTGGTCCCTCTGAGCCGGGGGTGCAAAGCTTTGGCTTCCCTCCTCCCCAGCACAAGCATGGAGTCTACTGCTACAAACCAGACAATGAGTGAATGTAGACCCCCAACCCTCTTCTACAGGGTCAGGGATGTAAAGTATGTAAAAAAAAAAAAATCTTTATGAGCAAAGCTGTTTGATTAATACTGTGTAAACCCATTGATGATTGACAGAAGAAAGCAGAAAAAAAATATTTACTTTTTTCAGACATTTTTCTCTGAAGTACTAGATAAGTTTCTCTCTATATGCCTTTTAAAACATTCAATTAATATGGAGGAAAAACATCAATCTTTTCTTAACTTGGTTATCGACAATTAAATTTTTATTCTTATGGGGGGGGGTGTTTCTGCCTTTATAAGGATAGGGTGACAGTGAAAATACAGCTAGGAAACATTGGGAGGGAGAAGTATCACATGCAACAAAGTTCCCCAGCTGTAAAGTAAACCAGGGATGCTGCGGTTATATGATATACATCTTAAACACCAAGAGTCCCCGACGTTCATTTAATGGAATTACAAGTTAAAAAGGGAACCACAGGTGCAAACTTTTTTTTAGATCTACCTCTCATATATTTCTCTTAGTACATTCTGCCTGAATATCTCATTTTGTACATTAGAGCAATGCATTGAGATTAGCAATTGCAAAATAATATTCATACTTGACATGCGAAGACTGATGGTGGACTTGCAGTTGAGATTATTTTGTTACTGGTTTGTTCCTACTGTATAATGTACCTCAGGTGATTTTCACATCGAAGCAGGTGTTCGGTAATGGTTTTTACATCTTTGGAAATTTATTTTTGTATAACAAATACCTTTCCTAACTTAACACAACAAACTTTTTAACCAAGAAGGCTGTGAGAAAAAAAAGAAGCATGTTTTCATTTGTAACTCTCTTGTTTATACCTACTCTACTATTTGATGCCGTTTTTGTACACACAAGTGCTCCATAAAAGGAAACACCAAATTTATTCTGTGGTTGTAGGAATGGGTATAGAAAAAGCAGGTATTAGCACCATGCTGGACTAAACACTATTTATCCAGAGTAGACTGGAAGTCCAGTCAGTAAGTAAGTAAGAAATTTAACTGACATATCATTTAAACAAATTCAAAGGGTGATTTGTGTGCACTGTTTACAGGCAAATCTCATATGGTGGCAGCGTTGCATTCCACAAATGACTGCTGCTGACAAATTGCAGATGAATATGAGTGTCTGGGCTTTTGCATGCTAATGTACGGATCAATAGTAAGGAATTTGTTTTTATTAATGAAATTTTTTAAAATAAACACGCAAATTGGTGCTTGGGCCACAATTCAATGGTGCATTTCAGCTGAGTGAGTATTATCAATGCTTCACCAGAACTAGTAAACAATCCAGTTTTCACCTCTACTGAATATGAGGTGGACTAGGATGAGGACTCTATGGAAAAATATTTCAGGGTTTATCTGCAAAAGCTTCTTTCAGTTAATTCAATAAAATGTGTAATAAATCGTAAACAAAAAAATATTTTGTGTGCATAAACCTTTTTCCTACTCAAACTCCGCTTCAAAGAGGAGCCTCTCAATTTTCATCCTGACGTCGGCCTTTTTCTGAGGGGACAACTTTTTAAACATCTTCACGAGGCTCATGAAGTAGTATTCATCGCAGTCTTGTGGTTTGTCAAAGTTTGTCTGTACAGTTTGGTGACATTTAGAAGAGTCTGGTTCCGCACTCCCCTTCATCTTCCCCGCAGTGTCACACTTGGGGATGAAGGGAGTCGCTGACTGGCTGCTGCTGCTCGCTCCTTGGCTGCTTTGGTCATCTGAATCTGTGACGACGGTTACGTCATCACTGTCATTGTCACTGTCCTGTGAAGAAAACACATTTTTTAAACAACAAAATAAACCAATCAAAGTGACTTAGCTTGTAGGGGGTATAATGCTCACTTGTGATAGGTAAGACAACGTCCAGAGCCGGCTAAATCTGAATCTTTTTCTAAATGCCTGGCCATCTCTAACATTCAAAGAACATTTGCAGTAAAAATGTCTCTTAGATGTATATGGTAAGTTTATTTAATCATGTGTAAAGCTTTCTGCAATAAAATCCCTTTTCTACAGCTATCCTTAGAAACAAAGACCTCCTTCTAGTCATGACTGCACACCAGGATTTAAAATATATATTCACCATATCATATACAACGCTTACATAAAAAAAATTACCTGGGACCATATTACAGAAAGTTCCTAACTGGCAGATCCCATTCAAACTGCTTGGTAACTATGGTATTTAGGGTTAGGAACTGATTCAGGAATAAGGCCATTACAGATTAACAGTTCCTAAATCAATGTTCCTTTCCTAACTTTAGATAAGAAAAGTGTATTGCAGAAGCATCCTAACTTTGTAAAATCTTAAACTGTTAAGCTGTGTTAACTCTTACTCTTCCACCAGGTAGTGTTTGCTAACTCTTTTAAACCACATGGCTACTCTATGAATATAATGGAAAGGCTTAATGTAACAAAAATAGCATATCCTAACGCAATAGAATTTGATAGAAGGTTGTTAAAGACAAGAAATACATTAAAAAAACAAACACAAAACAAAATATGATGATGTTAGCCCCCAGTCTTTATTACTATTTTTTACCTTCATAGTTAACTTCCCAGAGAAGAGTACGGGTTTCTGCCATTGTCAGTAAGGGAGCACAGGAGGAGCCACCACAGGTTTCCTCTGCTCTTTGGACCCAACAGTTGCCTTTCTCTTCCTATCACTTGTAATTGGACTTATTTTCTTTTTAACAGCATCAACGCTCCGCTGGATGCCGGATATGCGGATGTGTCCACTGTTTTAGCCCACTCTCTATCTGTAATCTCCTGAGTTAAGCTACGGAGGTTTCCAACACCTGTGACTATGACCAGAAAACAGCAATTAAAAGCCGTTTAGATGAAAGACGTGGCATCGGTTGCTAAGTAACAGACATTAAAGTTGATTACTAATGTTGGATTGAGTATTTCCTAACCTGAGATAAGATAGGATGAAGTAAAATAAGATAGGATTCCTAAAGTTAGTTAGGATTTGCTTCTGTAATACCAAATTAGGAAAAATCCTATCTTAGACTCTTCCAATCTTAACTTCAGGCTTAAGATAGGAACTTTCTGTAATACGGCCCTTGGATAACAACCATTACATCCTCTCAAGATAAGAAAAACTTTTTTCACAAGTGCAAGTTGGTTGTAGTCACCAGAAGCACCATGTGCAATGTACTTCTGGTGGCCATACTGTAATTAAAAACACATAAAAAGGGATTTAAAACATACAGATGAGTGACAAATGAAAGGAAAACCCAACATGAAGTGTCTTAGTATGGAGTCAGGCCACCACAAGCCTCCAGAACAGGTTCAGTGCTCCTCGCCAAATCTGTTGAAATCTACCCTTAACTTCAGTGTTTAGGTACACTGATAGGAGACAATGCATATCTGCCACGATACAGCTAACTTTAAAAGGGCATCATATGTAACCACTGCCTTACTATCTCATATGAAGGGATGTCACTCTCCCCAGGGGTCAGCGATGAAGCGATCAATTCTTTGGTTTGGACTCTTCTCTGTGTCACAGCTTTTTGAATCAGGGATCCTTTCTGAGCTCGCCGCTGTTCGGCCTGGTGGCAGTATGGTAGATGATTGGTGAAATCTCGTTTCCTTAACAATGTGGCTGTGCAGTACAAACAGTGGTAATGCTGCTGTTTTCTGCACCCCAGTCCGCATCTGTGGATTGTGTACTCTGAAATATATACAATACATTTAATTAGGAATTCATCATTTTGCTGACAGTTAATTTTTTTAAAATGCAAAATATAAAAATGCTTACCTCCAAAATAAATGGCTCTCTTTAGATGATTGCTCAAATGAATCCTGGCTCTGGAGCGTTTTGAGGGTTTGAAGAAAGTCGGTAAACAAAAAGGACAATGAAATCTGCTAGGATAGCAGCAATTGTTGCATTTTTGCGGAGGAGGAATGTTAAGTCCTTTCTGGATAGATATGTGACCCTGAAAAAGACAACATAGGAATAAGTAATAAATAAAAACAACCAGCAGACGCATCAACAGTGGCACCCATTAACTACTTATAAGGTTATAGTCTAGTAGTCTGCTCTTGTTAGGAGTGAAATGCAGCTCATTTAAAATGTGAGCTACTTCTGTTGGAAACAGGACTGAGATGTGAACGTTCCCGTGCTGTGCAAAAGCAAGAGAGCCATAGATACATTTAAAACTATGTTATTTACCATAGCCAATGCAAAGAAAATCAACCCAACAATGCTAAGATGTGTTATTATAATTTGTAACGTTATCTTCAATTTTATTAGAGTTTGACTTCAATAGAGTTTTGTCCCTGTCGAATAACATTTCAATGGCTTTTAGTCGACTAGCCGTGGCTCACGTTAACTTGTATTAACTGCTGAACTGTTGCGAACTGATTAACAGTTTCTATTGCAGAAAATGTTTTTTACTTCTTCGGATCCCCCTAAATAACTTGTCAGTACTTTGGGAAAGTAAAGTTAAAAGTTAGGACTAACAAATACACATTGATTAGCTAGCTGGCTACCTGCAAGATAGCTAAACAGACAATTAGCTAATAGCCTGGCTAGTCAAGAAGACAGCTCCTCTGAGGTATTTAGTCTCGTACATGGCTGCAAAGTGAAGATAACATCACGGTATCATACGAACGAGCTGTTGATAATAAAGAGTAATAATCATCAATACTGTCGTTCGTTTGTGCATTTGCTTACTTTAAGCTGTTGACCACTGTCCATGTTTTCCACAGAAAAGTTTGGCACGTCCACCACGGGTGTTCTGGAGTTGTTTTCTTCTTCCTCCTCCTTCTTCTTCTTCTTCTTTTAGAGGTTAGCTGGCGGTTGGCAAACCAACTTAAGGTGCATTTACCGCCACCTACCGGACTGGAGTGTGGTCGTCGAGAATAGTCAGAGGGAATTATTCACCTATGCGCATATTAAATACGGTAAAACAACCCCGTGTTTTTGAGAAACCTCATAACCTGATTTTTCTTTATCTAAAAGTGTTTTAGATACATCTCCTAAGAGATTAACTAAAGTAAGCGCTTTCCCTTATTTATGGAGGACTGATGTTAAACAATTACGCTCCTCCATGTAAGTACTGCACTCTATTAGGACATGCTCAGCTGTTTCTGGCTGACCGCAATAATCACAGGCTCCTGTCTGATGTTTCCCTATACGGAACAAACAATCTATTGAGACCTGAATGGCCAATCCTCAAACGTGTCAGCACTGCCTCTTCTCTCCGGCTTCCATCACTAGACCTACCCCCTCCCACATTTCTTTGCACATAGTAAAGAGCCAGTGTCATTACTATACCACTGCTCTTGCCACATCCCAATCACTTTACTCTGAATAATAGATTTCCCCTCAGCTTTGCACAAAGGGAAATTGATATTAACCACATCCAATTTCAGGGCCTGTTTAGCTAGAATACCTGCCTCTTCATTTCCATCAACACCTACATGGGCAGGGACCCAGACAAACTGAACACAAACATCTTTACTATGCAGCTGAAACAATTTGTAGTATATTTTGTATAACAGATCTAGTCTGCACTTTCCTGTTTTTATGCTCAATAACGCAGCTTGACTGTCTGAGGCAACTACAGATCTGTTTATGCCTCCAATACAATTCATAAGCAACCAATTAAGAGCTAAAGCAATGGCAGTGAGTTCAACAGTATACACTGCAAGAACACACTTTAATTTTGATGTTATATTGTGGAATACTCACTGCCGCTCCTGTTCTGCCATTGCTGGGATCTTTAGACCCATCAGTATACAGTACAAGATGCTCCTCAAACCGCTCAAAATAATTTCTTCTTCCTCTTCTTCGTCTTCTGATGTAGGCGATTGGCCAGTTTACAGGTGTATTACCGCCACCTACTGGACAGGAAGGAAAAATAAAAATACCTAAATACAGTACTACTATATACTTATATATATACTATATACTTCAGTAAATGTACTCAGTTCATTCCCACCATTGTGTGTCTGTTTCCTCTTGCTGCAACTAGGAGATACTGGTCAGTAACAACATGCTTTTAGATTTCAAACAGACTCTCTAAATAAAGATAATAATAATAATAATTATTAGTAGTAGTAGTAGTAGTAGCATTAGTATCATTATTATTATTATTATGCATATAACACTTTATAAGAGTTTTGACTTCAGCTTTACCTAATAAAATGTGAACTGTATGTTGACTACCTGTGATTTCAGTTATTATTTTGCTGTTTTCTTCCACACATACATGAGAAAGAACCTACAGAAAGCAAATACTGAAACCCTTAATGTGTATACAATAATTTTTGTCCTCTTTTTGGATCCCATTTATTACAATGCAAAATTACAACAGACTTGTCAGCCTGACAGTGTTTTCATATACCTCCTCATTACCCTTCAGAGCTAGAAGTAACCCACACAAGCAACATACACTCACCTAAAGTATTATTAGGAACACCATACTAATACTGTGTTTGACCCCCTTTCGCCTTCAGAACTGCCTTAATTCTACGTGGCATTGATTCAACAAGGTGCTGAAAGCATTCTTTAAAAATGTTGGCCCATATTGATGGATAGCATCTTGCAGTTGATGGAGATTTGTGGGATGCACATCCAGGGCACGAAGCTCCCGTTCCACCACATCCCAAAGATGCTCTATTGGGTTGAGATCTGGTGACTGTGGGGGCCATTTTAGTACAGTGAACTCATTATCATGTTCAAGAAACCAATTTGAAATGATTTGAGCTTTGTGACATGCATCAACAAGGCATTTTCGCCCACAGGACTGCCGCATACTGGATGTTTTTCCCTTTTCACACCATTCTTTGTAAACCCTAGAAATGGTTGTGCGTGAAAATCCCAGTAACTGAGTAGATTGTGAAATACTCAGACCGGCCCGTCTGGCACCAACAACCATGCCACGCTCAAAATTGCTTAAATCACCTTTTTTTCCCATTCTGACATTCAGTTTGGAGTTCAGGAGATTTTCTTAACCAGGACCACACCCCTAAATGCATTGAAGCAACTGCCATGTGATTGGTTGATTAGATAATTGCATTAATGAGAAATTGAACAGGTGTTCCTAATAATCCTTTAGGTGAGTGTACATGCATTAGTGGGAAGCACCTGAAACACTTAATCCACTTATGTGTCTTTTTTTTGCAGAGTGAAATGTCTTTAAAAAGTTTAGTACAGGAACATATTACAATTTCTGATAATATTAAATGTGAATTTCCCTAAAGTCTTAAATAAGATTAAACTCTCAAGACCAAAAGAAGCATACAACAAAACAGTGTGAGTGCATGTTTGTGTGTCTACCTGTCGTTTTGTCTAAATGGAGACTTGCCAGAGAGAAAGAACAGAACCAAAGCTTCTTACATGGAGGTTTAAGCACAGCCAGCAGATGGCAGTCAGATGATTGGGTGCTTTCAATCAACAATAAGTGTAGAACAAAATGTACTGTATCAACACTCTCAGTTATTTTACAAATACACAACTTTTAGAGAAACATAAGGCATAAGGTATTCTACATCCTAATCAACACTTATGCAATGCTATAAGCATCTTGATTTTACAAGATCCTCCATCTGTATCACAGCACCAGTAGATTTCCTAGACAGTTATTGCAGTCATGCAGAAAATGTGTCATTTATGTAAATACAATCAGATTAAAAGTGAAGAATGCAGGATGACACAGATTTGACTGCTGACAATCTGAGGTGAAATGTGACAGCCAAACTGTGAGAATAGGGGGGGAAAAAGCAGAGAACAGAGTGTACAGTCACAGAAGTATGTTCACAGAACCTGCAGTATCTCTCAAGTTAATGAGACATTCATATGTGGGACAGTGCAATATTTGCTGTGCAGCTGATTCAGCATCTCCAGATCTTGTAAGCCTCATGTCAGGAAACATAGTGGCAAAATCTTCACTTCCAAAGTCATGGCTAAATCTTCACTGAACTTCCATACAGTGCAGTTAATTAGGGCTATTTTGACATGTGCAAAACAGCTGAAGCAGCAGCAACGAAGTGTTATAAAAGGAAGCAGATTCATGCTCTGACCTCCACACCCATGACTGAAAGTGTGTGACACAATATTTGTGAGTGGATACACTAATAAGGACATTTATTAAAAGTCACGGCAAGTCACTGCAGCAGTATTAAATGGAAGAAAAAGTGCTGACTGTGTCATTTTGTAGATATGTATTTAAATGCCCCAACATCTTCTTGAAAAAACTGAAATAAAATAAAGGCCTATGATAAAATATGATCAAATAACAGCCAAATACACAAAATAAATGCTTTAGATCATAAAGAACTTTTAGCACCATCTTGCATGTTGTGTCTTAATAAAAATAAAGGCCATGTCAGGCCAGTGGTAGAATGTTCCACATATTGATTGCCAGGGAATTAATGTATTATTTACTCAATAGTAGCATTTTACAAACAAAACATGTGATCAAATTATAACATACAATCTATTGTTATAGATTAAAATACCCAGCAGTCTATAAAGTTATTGAAATAAACTCCACTACATCCAGCTACGACACTGAAATACTGTCTCCATAATAATACATCAATAATAATATAGTGTTATAATTGTATATTAATAAAACACAGACAGAAGCATAATGAGTTATTTTGATGATGATACTTCCAAAGTTTTACATAAGTACATTTGGAATGCATGCATTTTACTTGTAATGGTGTATTTATGTGTTGTATTTCCTATTTTACTTGATACAAGAGTGGATTGCATCTCTCAGCAATTATACAGCTACTAAATATCACAACATTAAAAGCTGTCCTTCCATAGTTTAGGTATTTATTTAACCATCAGACATGGTTAAGTTACAAATCTGCTTTGTTCAAACTCAAAAGGACACATCTAATCTGATGGATGCTAGGTTGCATGTAAACCAAAATATCATAATAGAATATGGGGTAATAAAAACTACTTGATGCCCCAAATCTCAGTCACATTAGTGGGTATTGTTTTTGTAAGTTTCTGGGGAGTTTCAAGTGTTAGATGTATGTAAATGAATCACATCTAGGCAATGCAAAATCCCAGAAAAGCATGAAAAACATGATTCGGCCACATGGTTTCAGTACCAAGTATATTTCTAATTCACATGTTATATTGCCATAACATCACATGGTTGTCAAATGAGAAGGCAAGACATTGGTGGAAAATATCCATCTGGCTTGTAAATAGCTGACACAAACCTATTACCACAGTACCAGTAGAAGTGAAGAAGTTTATTTATGTTGACCCCCTTGAAACATTATACCACACTGAATGAATGAATAAAAAAAGTGTGTAATATGCTCAAGAAAATTGAAATTGACAGAATGACTCAAACTAAGAATAGAAATCTTACAAGCTGAACTGAATTCCACACTTGGCGAGTTCCTCTTCATAGTTGAGGTTTTCAAGGGTGTAAACCCCAACATTTTGGTGTAACCTCAGGAAACTGTGTCATGGTGTTGGTTGGGAAGTTTCAAAACAAAACAGAGAGAGGTTAGCTGCAGGCTGGTGAAATCAACATGTTGTCGTTTTGGGGGGGGGGTCTCTGATTTAGACCCCAATGTGAACTGTTTTCTATGACAGTACCGGCAGCCTGGTATTATGTGTGTATACTGATAATACTGCAGAATGTAACTATGGACACTACAGAAAATTAATAAGGGGAAAAACTTTTGACAGGTCATCTGCACAATGCCCACAATGCAAAGCAGCCCTATAGTTAACATGTTTGTGTGGTAATATAATGTTGTTTCATGTTATTGGAATGTTTATACAAAGGCATAAACGTCTAAATAGCATTATACTGTTGTACTTAACTCAGTTGAAGCTT